TGGTCGCCTAGTGGTGGAACTTAAAGTGACCGTTTCTGTGGCAAGAATACCCTGGCTGGAGGAACCATCACCATATGACGCCATGTACTGACAAATACCATCACTGCAAAAGGTTCCTCCAAGAGTTTGGCATGCTCTTGAATCACAAGGAGCTTCTTTGTATGTTGAGGAACTTGTAGGATTGAAGAAAGGAGCTTTTTGCTTGTAACAATCAAGACAAGGCATACATTGCGTCCATATAAGGTCGCTACCAGTGTCAGCAATGGCTAGGATACTAACGGGTGGTGTTCCAATTGTTATTTTCATTAGATATTCTCCACCATCAGAAATTACATCACTGAAGGCTGACCGTGGTGTCGTACAAGCTCGTGTATAATACTTGACACGATTAGTTGAACGATACAAAGCACTGCTCACACGTTCAAAATGACTTAGAGAAGAATTGTAGAGGGGAGATGATGGTGAATCTCGATGGATGAGGTCCACACTAAATCCGACAGGATTAGCTTCAAGAAGGGAAAATGGAGAGAGATAGATAATGGAGACGGTGATTGCAAATATGGTGGAGACAAGGGAATGAAATGGTTTTTTCATGATTCTTTGTGTGATGAATAATAGCTTTATGAGCTGATGATATGAATGGAGAGAGGTCAATTTAGCCTACTTATAGAGAGCAAAGGATGGCTATCGCTAATAAAGTAAATGTACTATCTTCATGATAAAATGATTTTTTTCTTTTTCGGTGACTTAACAAGTAATTTCTCTTTTCTTTATATGCATCAATTTCCATCTATTGTGAAGTCAATGAAAATATTGAGGAAACTAACGTTAATTGTTGGGTAATGTTAAGAATATCAAATTTTTTATTAAACAAATAATTAAATGTCTCATATCGGTGTAGAGTCCGCAATAATATATCATCTTCATGATCCAAGTTTATTTTGATAAAATAATTTCTTTTCTTTTCTTTTCTTTTCTTTTCTTTTGTTTTGGTGACTGAACAAGTAACTTCTCTTTTCTTTATATGCATGGATTTTCATTTATTGTGAAGTTAATGAAAATACTGAGGAAACTAACATTAATTATTGGGTAAGGCTAGAAATACCAAATTTTTTACTAAACAAATAATTAAATGTTTCACATAGGTGTAGGATCCGCAATAATATACCATCTTCATCATCCAAGTTTGTTTTGATAAAATGATTTTCTTTTCTTTTCTTTTGGTGACTTAACCAATAACTTCTCTTTTCCTTGTATGCATGGATTTTCATTTATTGTGAAGTTAATAAAAATATTGAGGAAACTAACATTAATTGTTGGGTAATATTAAGAATACCAAATTTTCTACTAAATAAATGACCAAATGTCTCACATAGGTGTAGAGTCTGCAATAATGTACCATCTTCATGATCCAAGTTTGTTTTGATAAAATGATTTCTTTTCTTTTCTTTTCTTTTCTTTTGGTGACTGAACTTATCTTTTCCTTATATGCATGGATTTTCATTTATTGTGAAGTTAATGAAAATATTGAGGAAACTATATAAGGATTTTCATTTATTGTGAAGTCAATGAAAATATTGAAGAAATTAACATTAATTGTTGGATAATGTTAGAAATATCAAATTTTTTACTAAACAAATGATCAAATGTTTCACATGGGTGTAGGGTCAGCAATTTTATAAACCTTACATTCATGTGAGACATTTAATTATTTATTTAGTAAAAAATTTAACACCTATAACATTTTTCTTAATTGTTTGAGTTAATGCAAATACTGGGTAATCTCTAGTACCCCTTAATTAGTAATGAATGTGGAGATACATTGCATTATTGCTGGTATAAATAAAGAGAAATGTTAGGGATCATGAAAATTTTTTAATGAAAATAATCATGAAAGATTTGTAATTCTTAGATTACCTTGATTAGTGTATGGTGTTTTATTCTAAATGTAATTTAAAAGTTACAAATCTTTTATAATTATTTTCATAAAAGACTTTCCATCATACCTAATAAATAAATAACAGAGGTTTTTTTTTTTTTTTGGTGGTCTAATATGAAAGGATTTTCATTTATTGTGAAGTCAATGAAAATATTGAAGAAATTAACATTAATTGTTGGATAATGTTAGAAATACCAAATTTTTTGCTAAACAAATGACCAAATATCTCACATGGGTGTAGGGTCAGCAATTTTATAAACCCTACATTCATGTGAGACATTTAATTATTTATTTAGTAAAAAATTTAATACCTATAACATTTTTCTTAATTGTTTGAGTTGATGCAAATACTGGGTAATCTCTAGTACCCCTTAATTAGTAATGAATGTAGAGATACATTGCATTATTGCTGGTATAAATAGAGAAAAATTAGGGATCATGAAAATGATCATGAAAGATTTATGATTCTTAGATTACCTTGATTAGTGTATGGTGCTTTATTTCAAGTGTAATCCAAAGGTCATAAATCTTTTATGATTATTTTCATGAAAGTTTTTTCATGATACCTAGCATTGCTCGTATAAATAAAGAGAAATGTTAGGGATCATAAAAAAAATTTCATGAAAATGATCATGAAAGATTTGTAATCCTTAGATTACCTTGATTAGTGTGTGGTGCTTTATTCTAAGTGTAATCTAAAAATTACAAATCTTTAATAATTATTTTCATAAAAGACTTTTAGATAAATAAATAACAGAGGTTTTTTTTTTTTTTTTTTTTTTTGGGGTCTAAAACGAAAAGTTTCTCTCGCGTCTATAATTGTGTTGTTAGACTGTGTTATTATGGGTTGCAGGACCCACTATAGGTCCCACGTCGATAATCTACTTCATTTAGTTTTTTAGCCTCTATACGTGAAGAAAAATAATATATAAGTTACTTTTTACATACATATTATAGATTTAATGATATATAAGTTACATGATTAATTGATAAGTGAAGAAGACATAAGATAGAGAAATAACACAATGAAAAGTGGATCTAATTTTAAGTTTGAATAATATACTCATATGTGAATTATCTATAATAAAAAAATAAAAAATAAAAAAATTGATTCAATAATTGTAAGTTTGTGATTAAATTATATTTGTTCAAAAAAAGAGATATATTTTTGAAAATATAATTCATAAATATGATGATGAAATCATGAGGTTATAGATATCAGATCCATTTGATTTTTTTATTAGGTAGATCATACTTACAAAATAAGTAAATCGGATATCAGTAACCTTTTCATCCAATCATTGTTAGTTTATATTTAAAATCACACTTATCATTAATTGTTTTTAATTTAGTTTTATACTTAAAATCATACATATCATTCATTTTTTTAGATACAAATATGATTGGATGAAAAGATTATTGATGTATAATTAACTTGATTTTTTTACAAATTTAATCTACTCAATGTATCTTAAAAATATAAACCATTCAAATTATCAAAATAAGACTTAAAATGGGCCTGATTGAGCACACAATCAGTCACCCCCCTTCCTAACTTACATGTAACATGCACCCAGAAAAAAATGTGAATTGTACCAGTCTTGAATACCATTTAATGTGCTCTAACAAATGAATCTAATGTCACTAATGCTAATGCATTGAATTAACATATGAAAATGCTATGAATCTCAAATAATTTATTAAATATTTTATTAAATTTCTCACATAGGTATGGAACCTACACAAACTCAATGTGTGTAGGTTCCACACCCATGTAAGAGGTTTGGTAAAATATTTGGTAGATTATTTGAGATCTCTAACATTACTCATTAACATATATCCCACCTTTCATGTCTTATATTAGGAAAAGGAAAATGCTATGAATCTCAAATAAATTACTAAATTTTCTACCAAATATCTCACATGGGTGTGAGACTCACACAAATCATATGTGTGTTAGTCTCACACCGATAAAAAAAGTTTGATAGAAAATTTAATAATTTATTTGATGTTCCTAACATAACTCTTTATATTAATTCACCTTTCATGTCTTATATTAATTCATGGAAAATTCTAAACATACATTAGTCATACATTGTCCACAAAATTAAAGAGCTTACAATTAAATTTTTCATTGTCTAAATACAATATATATACCCAAAAATCTTTTCAAAAATCAATGAATTCAAATTCAGATGTAGTCAACGTAAGCACATTTTAGAGGGGTTATGAGACGAGGATTAATGTGAAATTCAAATTCATATTCAAAACGTATTTTGTTTGTCTAAATTTTAAATAATAGATAATAAATAGGGCATATTAAAACGTGGGTTAAATTTTGGAAAATCAATGAAATAGAATCATAAAATATGGCAATAAATACAAAATTCATGATTTAAATTGGGGGTGTTCTAAATGCGGACTTAAAAAAAATTCTACACCCACCACCACATGCACTACAAGCCTTGTACTTTAGGGGGAGAAAAAACTTTTACATATAATAATAGAGAACATGGGGTAAAGAGAAACATAATGGGTGTATTTAGAACCTCCCTTAAATTGGTTTCCCCTTCAAGCAATGACAGATTAGTACAAATATCAGACAAACTTTCGAACAGATATACATTATGTTCAAATGTTTATGTCCAAATAATTATTTTTTGTTGGCAAGTTTATGTGCAAACATTTGGCATCATTAATGGAGTATATTGAGATTTTATATGGTGTTCGAATAAAATTACTGCAGAGTACTCCCGCGCTACTTAAAAAAATACAACAATGCACCCCCCTCCCAAAAAAATAATAATAATAATAATAAATAAATAACAAGTATTTCACCAGAGATTTTGAATGAAGATGACTAAAAACTTAAGGAAATGTAGAATGAAGTATGAACAGACCACTATAAACAACCACCATATTGGTGCATCTGTGCTTCTGTTGATGTTAAATTTTAGTTCATTGCACACACAGGCTTCAGTTCCCATCACACCTTTACATATTCTCTTTCTCTTGGAGACCCACACACACACACACACACACACACACAGACAATAGCATATGGTTTAATATTTTCACAGTTGGATCATTCCAGCATGCAAAACACCAATCCATGTCAAACAAAACCAATAGCATCTCATATTCTTAACTTAAAAATAGAAAGAAATGAAAATCTCAAGCAGTTCCTCACCAGCCAATTAGTTTTGGACCCAGATATCATATCATATGATATTTTCTTAAAGGAAATCTGTCAATTCATTAATTTTAGAAATTGTACAAATTGTGATTTCTAGTGTATCCCGAAAATAAGAGAAATCTTCTTCGGTAGTTCCCTTCTGCTTGTATGATATGTCCAATCAGATATTCACCTTCCCACCTTGCTCTCGAGCAATAGATGCCGATAGAATTCCAAGATCACGATTCAAAAATGTTAATGCAGACTCGCACTCCGAGATTATTCTTGTGACAGACGAGGGCTGACCAGCAATCGTTTCAGATGACCCAACGGCCACTGCTGCATGAGCGTCTCGAAGATTCCTCAAGTTCCCTAGAAACTGTGACACATACAAAATCAAAGATAATTTATTATTATTAAAAATAAAAAATAAAAAACATAATTATAAAATAAATTTTTTAAAAAATAATACTAACTAAAATTTAAAAGTCATATTCCATAATTTAAATATCAAGATATCATCCACAACAATTGTATTTCAAAGAATATAAAATAATTGTAGAATACTGAAATACGCATGATATATTTATCTTACAAATATTTCAAAACATAATTAGAGCGCACAAGTTGCATATCAAAAAATGAATCATATAGGTAATGTTCAAAGGGTTTAAGAAGTGTCGTTGAAGTAGCTAATATTAAGAATTTAGACCCCGTTTGTTTTGGGAGATAGAATGGAGGGGATTGATAGTAAGGGGATTAATAGTGAGGGGATTATTAGTGATGGGATTGATAGTGAGGGGATTAGTAGTGAGGGGATTGATAGTAAGGGGATTAGTAGTGAGGAATTGTTAAATTATAATAAAACAAATAAACAAATAAAAAAATATAAAAAATTAAAAGTTATATTTTAAAAAAAATTTCCCATATATAAAAAATAAAAAAATAAAAAAATTTCTAATCCCCTCACTATTTTTCTAATACCATCTCTACCTCCTCCTTACCAATCCCCTCTCCAAGGGTATTAGTAATACCAAGGGACTAATAGTCCCAAGGCCTTCTCCCAAAACAAACAAGGCTATTACTAATACCTTGGTATTAGCAATCCCAATACCCTCTCTTTCACCCAAAACAAACGAAGTTTTAATTAAGACAAGTTAAAGAAGTATCGAACACAATTTCAGAAGTAACCAAAGAGTGTCAGTGTCTAACATGACACGCCTCCTCCATAGAAGTGTTTGGGCTTAGGAAGTCAACAACGGGCAACGCCATTGAGCTAGCCCTTCCTCCTAACCCTAATGAAGTCAAGATTTGAGCCCAACATAATAACATTGGAAACTAATACTGAAGGAGTTGGAATACATGCATTCTAGAACAAATATCATAAAATGCATACGTGAAATGTAACATATATAAAGTTCATTCCTATCAACCTTACTGTATCGTTGAGCATTATATAATGCAAGTTATAAATTGCAATGATTTAAGAGTCATGTGTATTGGAATTTTTTCGTGTAATACGGAAGTCAAGGTTAAGTTAATGGAGAGGGTGGATCATCGCTTGTATCTCAAAGTTTATAGTCCCAAGGTTACCTTGGGAGAGTTCTGAGACAGGCATCTTTTCTACCCAACAGTTTTTTATTATCATTAATAGAAGCTTTGATTTTATGATAAACAAGCATAAAAATCAAATGTTGATGATGTTTATTAGAGTTGGAGTTTGTTAGAGTTGAAGTTTATTAGAGTTGGATTGGATGTATTTTATATTTTTTTATATTAAAAAAAAAATTCCATGCTAGCCAAGTTTTGATTTTTTTAGAGAGGTTAGATAGATTTCAATTGTACATGTTTAAATTTATTTATTTATTTTTACATGAATGCTAGACAATAGATACGTCAAAAATGTCTTAACAACCAATGAATTTAGTTTGAGGCCATGGAGTGGTTTCCTATTAATTTATGCCTGTTAAGAGTAGATTTACCCATATTAGTTTCTCTGCTTAAAGGCTTCATTCATTTTTTTTTAGGGTTTAGGCAAGGTAAGGAGACTCGAACTCGAGTTTCATTACTGAGGAAATGCGGCCTAAGCCAATGGGATGTCCCCTAGGAGACTTCCTTAAGGCTTCAAATTGTGGAAATCCTAGTGTCTAAAACTTTCAATTTGTATGGAAAATAGAAGCTTAAAAGTAGAGTTTTAAACTTTTTGTTAGGACTTTTTCTCAACACATAGAATGTGAAAATTGATTACTAGTTTAATCTAATAAAATATAAATATATTTGTAACGTAAAGAATTAATAAATTGTTATTATTTTCATGTATATATATAAAAAAAAATATGTCTATTTGCTATTATGTCCCAGATGTGTCCTGACTTTCAAGAAACTAATATGTCAGTATATCCGCATCACATCATATAGGCACTATATCCATGCTTCTTAGGGGTGGGTCGAGGTCTACAAGATTACTCAAAAGTCAGTGAAATTTTTTTAAATGTTGGATTTTTTGATAGAAAAAGGTACTGATACTAATTATATTAATACTTAATTAATAATATAATTATTTTTATAAATTTGAAATTATTTGAGACATTTTATAATTTAAAAGTAAGCCACATGTTTAGGTTAAAAGAAGTATTAAACTATAAAATACTATGAAATGGGTTAAAGCAAGAGGATTGGGGTTTATATGATTTTAAATTATTTTGGGTTTAGATTTTTGACCTGTATATTAAAACACGTCGATTTTGAATCAAACAAACACTTGTTACTCTAGAAAATCACCCAACCCAACCAATTGCCACCCCCACTAGGATGGAGTTAAGAGCAGATAGATAACACATGAAGAACATAAAATCAGACTACTTAGAAAGAATTTGAATAACAGTGAAACTATACATAATAACATATTACTAAATCAGTGCTATTTTTGCCATCTTAATTGGGCACTTAGGCTACATGAATGCCAAGTCTAGTGTGAAAAAGTTTGAGCCATGGGTGATCCTATACAGATAAGAATAAATACACAGAGAGAAGAAATAGATGAAACTGCCAATATGTACTTGGAAGTGTTTTCAAATGTCAGGTCACACCAAAGAACTGGCTTCTAGCTTCGGAGGAGCTCAAACAAAATTTTCATCTGTTAAGGCCTAACCACTGCCTAACAGGTAATAGAATACATGAAAAGAATTTAGTACCAAGTTACCTTCAAGAGCGTCTTGTATGCCTCTAACAAGCGATTAGCAGCTGGCCCAAACCCATGAAGCTGCGGTACCTCCATCATGTGCGTCCAAGGACGAATTTCCTACAGAAAACAAAACATAACAATTATCCAAAATATATTAGCAGTAAATACACATGCAAGAACAAGCCCACATTTCTGTAAACAAAGATGCCAGCATCCTAACATGCCCTGGATGCACACAAACAGACACATGCCCCCCCTTTTTTTTTTTTTTTTTGATCAGCACACACATGCTCCACTTTAACAAAATTATTATGTCAACTAAGATTCTTGAGTATCAAGTATATGTTAAAATCAGCATAAGCTTGCAGAAATGTTGAATTGACAATTTGTCTCAAAAACTTGCAGTAAAGTTTGAGCTGTAACATAAATGGGCATTCCTTCTATGTCCACCGAAAAGCATTGGCTTGTCATTACATCACTACAAAAGTGTGCCGAGGATCATGTTCACAGCCATGAAAAATAGAAGTATGCTCTGATTGATGGGGCTTCTAATAGAGTAGACAAATGAGACAACAAAGTTGTATACAATCCAATGAAAGGAAGGGGCGAGTGCACACCTTGGTGTAAATCATGTTGAAGGATCTTGCAGTTTCTAAGAAAGATTCAAGATGCCCCCTCAGTTTTGCTTCCACTTCCACATAGTCCTCATCTGGATTATAAGCATGCTACAAATCAAAACAAAATAATAAAGGACACTTAAACAGATATTTTTCTTGTTTTACATACATGAAACTAAACAAATAGACAAGCTGATGACAACAATTAAGCATCTGCAACAAGTATAGTTTAAACAAAACTTTTCTCTTTTTCTCATTTTGCATTTGTCACTATTCATGTAAATTTTTTGAAAAAAAAAATAATTAAACATTCTTAAGTAGTGCATAAACAAAATCAAATGAGCATAAGGCTTGCCCCAATCAATAGGGACTTGAAAGACTCCACTTGTTATCTAGGTTCAAATCCACCCCACGCCCCCCTCACTCTAAGATAGAATCTATAATGAAGTTGTTCAAAGTAAACCCTCCAAAAAAAATAATAATAAATAAAAAAATATAAAAATAAATCATATAACATGTGGTAAGCAGAAAAGTCCAGCATAATTCTGGAAAAATAATTAAACATTCTTAACTAGTGCATAAACAAAATCAAATGAGCATAAGGCTTGCCCCAATCAATAGGGACTGGAAAGACTCCACTTGTTATCTAGGTTCAAATCCAACCCACGTCCCCCTCACTCTAAGATAGAATCTATAATGAAGTTGTTCAAAGTAAACCCTCCAAAAAAAATAATAATAAATAAAAAAATATAAAAATAAATCATATAACATGTGGTAAGCAGAAAAGTCCAGCATAATTCTGGAAATTTTCATTTTCTCAGAGTAAGACTGTTTATTAATGTTCAGACACTCTGTGTTTGGTTGGGGGATTGGGGGATTGGGGAAGCGATTTGGAAAGGAAAAGAGAAAAGGTAGGTGAAATGTGAATAAAATATACCGACATTTTACCTAATTTCACAAGCTTTTCCCTTTCCATTTCCAAATCCCTTCCCAAATCTCCCAACCAAACAGAGCGTTAAGGAAAATCTGTGTTAGAATTTACCATACCCCACTCCACCTACCAAATCCACTAACACTCACTCCACTAACACTCACTCCACCCTATGTTACATGGACTCTTCAAATTAAATCAAATACCCGTGTCGGACACCCGACACTCGGACAAGGGTATGGGATATGTGTCGGATACTTTTCAACCAAACCCCCATACAGTGTCCTCTACAACGTTATGACACCACCATCCAGTGTCTTCACCAATGGTCTGACACGACCATACAGTGTCACCTATCCTTTTTATGTATTTTCTTGTTTTGTTCCTCTCTTCAAACTCAAGTTGGTTAGTTTCTATCCTCCTTGAGTTTGCGGGGGGCTGTTAGAATTTACCATACCCCACTCCACCTACCACATCCACTAACACTCACTCCACTAACACTCACTCCACCTACCACCTCCACTACCCCTTCACCTACTACCTTCTTCTCTTCTATATATGAATCATTGTAAACAGAATACATAACAATCAATCAATCAATAATACATTAATTGTTTTTTACAATCTGATAGGTAACGATTACCAAAAAGTTACTTGGCTTGAACAAAGGAAATGGTTGCAATTACATTAACAATTTATGGTGCATACTTCCAGATATCAAAGAGCTTTGAATTGAACAAATATAGAACTCCAGAATATGGGTGAAGCCCTTATATCTAGAATAGGAAAATGATAACCCATTTCTTGAGGTAAACACAATATAACAACATACAAACAAGGTCAGTTTAGAAACATTTAATTAGGTGAACATGATCAAGATGCAAACAATCTCCACTATAAGACAAATAAGAAATTCAAAATAAGTATTATGTAAGGCAAGCAAATTGTAGCCTGAGGATTGGGATAAACCTTTGATGCCAAATCATCGACCATTTCTTGGAGATTCAACAGTCTATTTGATTGGTCTGCAAGCTGTTTTTCCAAATCAGAAATGTCCGGCCTGCAAATAAACTTCGATTAAGGGAACAGATGGTTATATATCTGGTGATAAACAACATTTAAAAGTTATGATATGTTTTGCATGTAAAAAAAAGTAATGATATGTTTTGCATGTAAAAAAAAAAAAAAAAAATTCTATTAACAACACCAACAAAATTCTGCACAACCATACTACTTTTCAGAAAGCAGAGGGAAAAGAAAACCTATTTTATATCTATCATTTACAAATGACAAACCAAGTGTGCAATAAAAATTGGGCACACTCTCAATAAACCATAGTCCCAAATACCAATTATAAGGGTCTGTTTCTCCAGTTGGCTACAAATCAAGCAAAATTATCAAATTTAAAAAGATAAGCAAAAAGTGTGGGAAGGAGGGGGCATGATCAAAGCTCATGCTTAAACTGAGGACATTGATTTAACAGGCCAAATTGGCAGAGGCTGAGTTTTCTGTAATATTGATTGCAAAAATTTCCATCAGTTTAAAGTCAGCAAAATGAAGAAACTGTTCTTTCTACATCCTCCAATCTAGGTTCTATCCAAGACTTACGATGGAAGTTTTGATTAAGATAAATAGTTTTACATCTCTTAAAAATGCTTATCTTTAGTTTTATATTTGAAATAAATAATATCACCTGCATACTATGGATAGAACATTCCAATATAAGGAAATTAAGTTGGGTTCAAATTAGTGACAAGATATGTCAACTCCAAATAGTATGTTGCACTGAAACTCTGACTTCTACTGCCATGTACATTTCTGCATTTGTGTGGCCTTATTAACTATGTGTGTTTCCATTGCAAAAGGGTAAAGAGTTTTCTAGTTAAGATTCCAAGTAGCATTATGTGTGCATAGACAAAGTTTGACATTTGTCTAGACAATTACTTATATATTTGACTTCTCAAACAAAAGGATGTTCGAGTTCAAAAAAAAATAACAAAAGCATGTTCCCCCTTTTTTTGATTAAACAGGCATGCTGCATGCCCAAGCATGCTAGCGCATGAACTTATGGGCAAGCATGCACAAACCCACAAACAAACATGTAGGTACACATGTGCATGCATTCAATGGCTCCCACACAAACTATGCACGCATCCCTACTCATGCATGCACCCACACACACTTACAGTATGACAATTATGTGCTTTTTTCCTATAATATTATGTAATATTTTAAGGCCCTAGAAGTAGCAAGATGCCCACAAAACCTATTTCCAAAAAAACCTTGCCAACTAGCAGAACATATATAACTTCATTACAAACACAGTACACCCAAATTCGAACTGAGACAATGATCGATACCGAAATGTGCCACATTGAGACCCCTTAATCTATTGGAGATAAGATTATATTGTCAAAAATATCAAAAGATATAGAGGCTTCGTTTGGAAAGTGGGTTGGTTTTTTAGCTTTTTTGGCTACTTTAGCCTGGGCTTAAAAGCTTGGTTTGGGAAGGACTTTTTAACTTTTTGGCTTTTTTGACTTTTTTTGTGAGAGAATAGTGTAATGATTATGGGTTGGATGTGATGTTTTGTTTGTTGTGGCTAAAATAGCCTATTTTGTCTTTTGTGGCTAAAATAACCAAAACCATCTTCCCAAACAGAGGCAGAATATATTAGAAACTATGGAGATCCAATGATTTATGCTTATTATGATTTTTCGTATCTTTGATTTATTTTAATTCCTTATCTAAAGGGATTTAATTGTATCTCTCACTCTATATATATGGTGTATCATATAAACAAGAGTATCAAGTTGAGTGAATGAAAGATGTAACCTATAGGGCTTTGTGTGTGTAGATGTAGGCCAATATTGGCTGACCATGTTAAACCTTTGTGTTCTTTTTTTAATCTTTTTTGTCTCTATTATTTCTCCATATTCAAACTTATTGCCTTGTTACAAAATTCAACTTGGCATTAAAGCCTACCAAACCCTAGGCTTGTTTCTCTCCAAAGAGCTTTCTTACTCCACATTTTTTTGTTATCAAGGTGTTTTTCCCTTTTACTTCTTGTGTTGATCGTTGGTTTGCTAATGTGGTAAGCAAACTCAGTGGTTTTACTTATTTTAGGGCTGTCAGTGTGTTCGGTAGCATTATTCTATGATACACCGAGTTTTCCGGCTACTTCTTTACCCTTTTAGGGTCCCCATGCTGATGTGGTAAGAACATATTTGGTTCTATACTTTTAGTCCACTGTAGTTGTAACTTGGCATAAGTAATTAACATTTTCATTTTAATCAGGTTAAGCTAGGCCTAAGAAGAAAATGAGCCGAAAACAAGGAAGAAAAGAACGTATGTCCCGCATGCGCAGCCAAGATCAAAACCAACTCTATAAGACAGCAAGAATCCGCACATGGAGTGGTCACTATCTGCACGTGCGATTAAGCATTGGGAACTGTGCCTCAGGATTAAGTGACCTACTTTGAGTGCATGGGTATAAAAAGGAGCTTGGAAAACTGAAATAGGATCCTGAATTTTCCTAGAAAAAAGAGGCTAAAGCTAAGAAGAGGTGATTCCACAAGCTCTTCCATGGCCGTGCTCTCTACATTTGTAGATTGACTTCTCTCCATGAGTGGTTAGGCACCATTCCCAAGGGTTTCGATGAAGCCCTAGCCAAGCAACTGGGTTATATTTTACGGATTGATGATTGTAAAGTATTTTGAAACAAGTTGTAAAATGTTTTGGTTATCAATTGTTTAATGCTTCATCTACTCTATGCATTCAATTTCTAAAAATTGATCATCGTAAAAATCAATCTTCTCGTACAACGTAAAACGAGTATAGAAAGTAAGTACGGGGTATCGTACCCACAGGGACTTTTGGATTGTCCCGTGTATTTTAAGTATCAATTCCTAAATTATTATTTTTTTCTTTTTTTCTTTTTGGGATTCGAACAAATTTGCAATGATTTGATTGGGATAGATTTAATTATGAATTAAAATTTAGAATTCTAAGTTAAAAGAAAGCAATATTAAAATGAGGAAATAAAATGGAAAAGAGTACTCAAGGAATCAAATACTCCGCTAGCTATGCGATTGGGTTTTTAATTTTAGGTTTCACAAAAGCAATTATTTGAAACAAACAAGCCCACAACTACACATTTGAAGTTGTTAACAACAAACAACATTAGGGTATTCAAACCATTAGAACAGACAATCTTCAACCAGCACGAGTTGTCCAAACTAAACTAAGGTTTGTGCCACAACTCATCTGGCCAACGCATTGCTCGTCTCATGTTTCCAATACACAAGCATAGAATTGCAAAACATACATTCTCAATGACAAAAATTGAATACATAGAATAGATGAAGCATTAAAACAATGATAACCAAACATTTTACAACTTGTTTCAAAATACTTTAAAATCATCAAACCCTAAAATATAACCCAGTTGCTTGGCTAAGGTTTCATCGAAACCCTTGAGTCTGGTCTCTAGCCGCTCAATAAGAGAAGAAAAGCTGCAAATGTAAAGAGAATCACCATGGAAAAGCTTGTTGAATCACCTCTCCTTAGAACTAGCCTCTCTTTTCTAGCAAAATTCATAACCTTGTTTTAGTCTTCCAAATCCTTTTTATACCCATGCACTCAAAATAAGTCACTTAGTCCTGAGGCGTGCTTCCCAATGCTTCCTCCATTCTTACAGAGTTGCTTTTGATCTTGGTTGCTCGTGCGATACATATCCACCGCACGTGTGGGACATATCGACATGATCCTTTCTTGTTTTTGGCTCATTTTCTCCTTAAGACTGGCTTAACCTAATTCAAATGAACATATCCACTACTTATGCCAAGTTACAACTATGATAGACTCAAAGTATAGATTAACAGGCCTCAATGTGGTACATTTCGGCATCGATCACAACCTAACTTACACTTTAATAATCCTTGAGCAAAGCAACTAGAAACAAATAAAAACGCAATAAACCTAATTGCATCCACTTTCGCGAGATGCACAATTGCATTTAGCTTATATAACAAGCCTTTAAACTACAAAGTTATCCCAACATGACGAGTGTCGCCTCGAGAGGGTTTCCAAATATGGTACCCACAAAAATTAAACATACCCATTGCTCATGAAATGCACCCAAATCTTTACAACATGACACACTCACTCAACACTCACAAATCATGAAACAAAGATTCCCTCCCAACTCATAAACTTGTTCAACACATGAAATATCCATGCATTTGGGAATGTGAAACCTCAAAAGACACTCAAAATGAAACTTTATGCAATCTTCACATGTAGTTCCAAATAAATAACCACCCCCAACTTAATTCACATTGTCCCCAATGGCATGTAAGCAAACAATAGTAATAAAGTAAAGATAGAAAGATACAAGTCACCAGATCATAAGATTTGTAGAATCTAGGTCACAAGTCAGATAGCCTTCGAAAAGTTACACACGACAGTAGATCAGACCCACCACATAACCCTGTGACTAGCACGACAAATCAAAAGACAGGAAGGCCCACCAAGAAGCAAAAGGTTCCGGCGGTGGAAGAAAGTGACCAAGTAATGCCCGGAGATAGACTAAGTCTCACAGGTATCTTGTTGGAGCTGAATACGAGGGGGCATAGAAATCCAATTCGAATGCCTAGTGTAGCTTTATCCTTGTGTGTAAATAGCCTCACAAATAGATGCAGGCAACTTAGTGGTTTGCATTACATAGGCTAGGATCACTGAAGTAACTGAGCTCATCTCAAGTAGGATTCTAACCTAGGTCACTTCCATTTGTTTTCAAGGGCTGAAGAAGGGTAACGCAACTCTCAAAACACCTAAAAATAGTATGCGAGATGTAAAAGTATATCATGATGTTCCAGGTTAGTGTATGGAGAACAATGAAAGGAGCAAAGGACAAAGCACCAAAGAAAGGAAAAACATAATAAAGCAATAGCCCTGTAGATAATTTAATGTATAAAGAGAAATAGAGAATTGTATTATTGATTGATATTTGTAATTGTTATATTTATTACAATGATTCATGATTCCTATATATAGAAGAGGGTGAGTGTGTAGTAGGTAAGGAGTAGGTGAAGTGGAGGTGGTAGTGGTGTAGTGGGTTAGGTTTAGTGGAGTAGGTTTAACAGCCCCCCTCAAACTCAAGGAGGTTAGACACAAACCAACTTGAGTTTGGAGAGAGTAACAAAACAAGAAAATAGACGAATACATAAAAGAAAAGAAGATAGAAGACACTGTATGGTCGTGTCAGACCATTGGTCAAGACACTGGATGGTGGTGTCATAACGTTGTAGAGGACACTGTATGGTGCATTACATAGGCTGGGATCCCTGAAGTAACTGAGCTCATCTCAGGTAGGATTCTAACCTAGGGTCACTTCCATTTGTTTTCAAGGGCTGAGGAAGGGTAACACAACTCTTAAAACACCTAAAAATAGTATGAGAGATGTAAAAGTATATCATGACGTTCCAGGTTAGTGGAAGGATAACAATGAAAACAGCAAAGGACAGAGCACCAAAGAAAGGAAAAACATAATAAAACAATAGCCCCAATAGCATTTTATATTCATGATGTAGCAATCATTGCATAGGCCATTATAACTTTTTAAAAAAACAATAAGCAAGCAGGAACTGGGAAAAAATGCTTATATTCCCTTCACAAGAATTCACCTTATGTTGGTGCAAATACGCTTATGTCCATGCTCCATAGTTCATAGGCCATCTACCAAGATACCCCTAACAGGTTCAATTGATGCTGAGAACAATGTTGGGAATTTATAACTAATTTTGAACTTTATTGGTCAAATTGAAGATCAACAAATACATGCATCCTATAGCCATATGCATAAACGACATTACAAATTTTTTTCAGAGTGGATTTCTTATCACAATACAAGATCATGTTTTCTTCCTGTACAGCTGCAAATCTCCAATTCAGACAACATAAATAAAAGACAAAAATCCAAACAGACAACAAGCCACACCATGTATTCTGCTTTTGTGCATCATAACATAATCCTGCAGTAAGTATTTATCAAAAAAAACATAATCCTGTAGTAAGTAACTAACTACTCTTTCACTCATGACCAAATTACTACCAAGTACGTAAGTGAGTACCATACATCAACTACCAGATACCTAATTGTATGAAAACCTGAAACATTTCCAAAATAATACAACACAAACAACTTTAGAAACTTGAGTTAGAAGCTCACTACAAATAATACTGCACGATTTCAATGCAATGGTGGGCTCAGTTTCAAGACAGAGCCATGACAAAAATAAAGCTATAAAAATAAAAGGAAAAAATTCTTACAATGGATATATGGATTGAATCTGCACATCTGCAGGGAACAACTTGCACTCTTCTGAGAAAATTTGAGCTTGTTTTTCAGCAATAGCATCTATTAGCTGTATGTCCTTTGCCACCTGCTCATCAACACTAGCAAGAAGAAATGGATCCAGATTTCATGTAATATTTACTTTTGAGAAAACTAGATGCAAACTAAAAAATCAAAAGAAGGATGCAAAAGAAACTAGGATTAATGACTTAAATTATGAAAAGATCCCTTTGTAGGCATCTATCCAAAAAAAAGGGGGAAATTATCTCAACCTCCATTCAGAGTTATCAGCGTATATGCTCGCCTCTACAAGATCAACGATCAGTCGAAGCATTTCAGTACGATCATCATAGCTTCCTCGTCCCTGTAGCAGAGGCATAGCATTTAGCATGGTTAAGGAGTAGCATCATAATCTCACATGCCAAAAAGTTTTTTGCTAGCCCAAAAGATAAGTAAAATCTACTATCAACGAAACAATCATGTGCTTTCAAACTAGAGCAGCCAACAAACCCAGCTGTTCATGAACTGTGTCTAGTATTGGATTCATTTCAACTCGCTTATTTCCCTACTAAACTGAACTTGAACCTTATTTGAATTCTTCTTTAGTAAATAAGATGAGCCTGAACAGTTCCAAACCTAACTTTTGTGGTCTCGTGAACCCAAACTTACAATAAGATATGGAATTCTTGCTACTTCTGCGACTTGGTATAAATTTTGAAGCCCCCTAGCTGTTGACCATTAAATGTTGTGTATATAAGAATAATATATGAAAGGTAAAATAGGGAAAATTTATATAATACATCCATTGTTGTCAATTGTGAATCATTTTACTAAAATAGTGAATCATGAATTGTATCAATTGTGAATCGTACGATTCACTTTATTTAGTATAATATATACATATAAAAATACAATTAAGTGTTTAAAAATACACGTGCATTAATATAATTAATTGACCTCTTTTTGTATTTTGCAAAAACGAGCCATTTCATGCATTATGCAAACAGAATTAAATGACAGTGAATCGTGGTGAATTGCAATAAATCGTAGTGAATCGTATGATTCACACAATTTGACATTCAATAACATGAATCAAATCATTTTCGCTGAAACTAGTATATATAGAGTATGAATCGAATCGTGAATCGTAAGATTCTAATAACCATGAATATATCCACCTTATTATATTAATACCAATCATCACTAAGCACAACCATCATGGGTTGCAATTGAACCAACCCACGATCACAACTTGAGACCATTGTGTCACCACCACACAACATTGCCACTATCAAAAGCGAACTAGGAAGCTCCTTCTTTAGGGCTGAGAAGACCATATTAATCGTAGATATATCGATTTCTCACCACCAAAAAATTCAAAAGGATGTGTAAGAGACATCCACCCAATTTTTCTCCATATTTATTGCTTGATTAGAATCTAACTGTTCATTCTAATATACTTCCTAACTTTAAGCTTAGAGTTATTACGGAGATCTAAGTATACATTTCTCATATCACGTACAAAGCTTCAATCAAAATAAGCTTTTAATTAGATTTGATGTGCTTGTTGATTGGGTGAATGTGTATATGCATGTCTTTTCTGGGAAGGAGGGTTCACGTGTTGACATAGAGAACAATCATTCAGTTACGCATCTTTTGTTCAACATGTCACCTCCATGTGCTTGGTTCCCACATGTCACAAGTTGACCAAAGGAATGTCTCCATGTCGTCTAGCCATGCCAACCAAGGCTAACATATGCGATGTCTTAGCCTTGAGCCTAGACGCTTAAAATTACTCTTGATGCATCCCCAAGTATGCTCGCCCAGACACACACCAACTTAGACAAGCGAATCTTCACTCTAGCAAGTCGACATTCTCATTCACGATAACATGCTCAACACCCTCGACTCATCACAACAATCCTCCATCCAAATGCGTCTCTTCTATGCCTCACCTGTTATCTCAGAGGCTATCTCCAATGACACCCTACTTCTCTCATGCTGGCCTAGGTTGAAGCATTGGGCGCCCAAGCGACCCCATGAACCTCGTGCGGGATCACTAGGCCTATGTCACTCAGTGACTATTGTTTTGGGTTTGTTAAGATACTCATCCCACAATCCCTCAAGGGGACTTGCACCTTGTTCAATCTTAAAGAGAAAAGGAGATCTCCACTATAAAAGAACTCTAGATCATGACCAAGACACGTGGCGCATTCCATACCTCTCAATAGTTGTAGAGAGCATTCCCACAACCATGTGCCACATGAGCGCCTCAGAGGATATTAGCACCACCACAAGCCAAGGTAACTTTACAAACAAACCATCCAAAGACAGCCACCTAAACTTTGTGAGCTAACCTCCTTAGCATAACACCTCTATATATAGCAAGCATCCATCTCCTTCATCTCCCAGCCAGTACATTCCTTTGGCAAGTCGAAGACTCCAACTCACTATCTCTCTTTCTCTCTCTCCTAAAACCTCCTCAACTCCCACCTCATCCACCGTTGATGGTCTCTCACCATCTCAGTGCCTGCCATGCATCTCAAAGGGCTCCAAAACCAGCTTACTCTCCACTATCCATACATCTAAAAGTTGTTACGTCATGGATATGCTTCGTCAACTATTATTCTTGTTATTTTCATGATTTCTCATTTCATTCCCATTTTCACACGTAATAGTTGATGGTTGTTAGAATCGTACAATTCACGAATTGATTCGTACAATTCGATACAAGTTTCAATCAAAAGATTAGAAACATGTTGAATCAAAAATTGGGTGAATCAGTCAATTGAATTACCAATTCACTGCGATTCAATTTTGTTTTGTTTTTGTTTTATTTGCATAAAGCATAAAACATCGTATTTTCACCAAGTTGTCAAGAAATAAAAAAGAGATCAATTAGTTATATCGATATATGTGGTTTTATATGTATATACATATATATAATTTAGTTATATTGATATTTATTTTATTTTAAATTTAAATTTAAATACTATGGGTGTACTTATATATATATATATATTGTATACTGACCCGGACACCCAATAATCAAAATATATATATATACGTATACTTATAAAATTATATTATATTAAATAAAGTGAATCATACGATTCACTACAATAGCAAAATGATCACGATTTGATAACAATGTACTAGCTTATGTTTAGTCAAATATGTACAAGAATGCCAAGCAAGTGTAGTGCTCTAATCCACCCAAATGTCCAAGGTTCAACTCATATCCCAAGCTAGCTTTGATACACAAACAAGGTTACTAGGCCCCCTCATGCATCTATTGGGATTAGTCTCGACTCTAAATGGGATGGAAATATCTCAAATATGCAAGAGGGCCATAACATAATGCTATTACTTTCACAACGATATCTAGAGAGAAAAAGAGAAAGTTAGCCGCTACATAAGCAGCCCAACTGTGTGTTACATGTGCTCCACAGGCTGCACTGCACCTTTCTTCCCAACAAGCCCTTTTTTCTTTTGATTTAGAAGACAGGCTGAATAAATGTTCAATGAAAAAAAGTTAAAAAATGATTAAAGACAGTACTACGAGATTCAGACATTCTTATTCGTAAACTCTACTATAATACCACTAAATTATGCAATTATTAACAGTAAATTAAAAAAGAAAAGAAAAGAAAAGAAACAAAAAGAAAAAGAAAAAGAAAGTCCAAAATCAAAGTCAAACAACAACTACAAAATACAAAAATTTAACATGATTGACCCACCAATAGGGTTACATCTGCAGGCAACGATATATCAATCTCACTAATATACAGAAAATTTAAAGTACATAAAACTTTTTTTCAAACAATCGACCAAGAAACAAAAACACAAAGAGTAATAAAACACAGAGCCCAAACTCTCTTCATTGCATACAGTAACAAAGCAAACCCCCAAAAAGACACAAATAGAGAATTAGCATTATAATTCGTTTTTACGCCACATGCTCCCTATGAGGGAAGAACCCCTCACACCTTGAGCATACTCAAATTCCTACCGCTAAACATTCTATATAGAGCCCCAGACCAAATTCCATGTTGCACAAGGACTATAGAATTCATGTACCACAACAAATAAATAAATAAAAACATGAAAGGAAGTGGCACGATATTAGAAATTTGAAACAATTTACCAAACTCTACACAAAAAATTACAGTCCAAAATATATCCTTTCCCATCAAATCCATTAGAATAACTTCAGCAATTTAAAATCACGTGCACCATACATGATGCATGATATACTAGACAGCTACCATCTGTAACCAAAAATGTATTTTCAATTGTACATAGCTTAACCGTAAGACAGACAGAAATAGTAACTACATAAACGTATTTGGAAAAATGCATGTCTAACAAATAATACGGCAACGTGCAGCCACAAAAGTTGATCAATAGAGCATACTTTCAAATATACGAGAAAAATAGAGCATACTTTCAAATATACGAGAAATGGAAAAACTCACTTGAATTGCTTCTGTATCAATAGTAGTGGTAATACCCAGAAACTTTGCAATCTCTGCTAAATCTGCAAAACAGCAGGCTTTCCTTTGTTTAAAAGAAATGGAAGGACACAAAACCCTAAACGCATAAATGCATGACCCTAAAAAAGAATAAAATCAGCAGATCCATTTGCATACCCAATTGAACTTTCAAAGGGAATTAAAGTCTAAAAATTAATAACTCACAAGCACAACCTAAACTTTTCGACTTCAGGCACAGAGAAATGCATTCTATCCACTACATCTATTCTATAATATAAAGCATACATCACATTTGGTATGAACAGTCACTTCCCCTCAATCATATCTGCAAAATCCTGCGGTGAATGGTTTTCCTGATTCATTAAACTGTCCAAAATTTCTAAACATTTTTCTCATTCATCAAACTGCCCCTCAAGCATCAAACCATCAAAAATTTAAATGTAAAATTTTTAAATTACAAGTTTACACTAAACTTGGTATGAACACTTTTGTCACAAATTTTCTTATTCCTAAACTACCCTTTTGTAACTGCCACTTTAAAACACAGCCATACACCCATGGATCCTATACTGCTAATTTCAAGCACCCCCATGTGGGCGTGCGCACACCTTATAGTGTTTTATATATATATACTATTATAAAAAGAAGACTTCTCTTGGTGTTTATGTCTCATATTTTGGGTTTTCCAAAATACACTTATATCAGTTATATGGGCAGCCATGCCCTAAACTCCTTTTTTTCCCAAATTTATTTTCAATTTTCAGATTTTCAATTCAATCATCTAATTTACAATCTTATTTTCTAAAACAAAATGATCATACGTGCGACACCGCTTCTAGTGAATATATATACAGTAAGGCAATTTTGTTTTTGAAAATGTCTTAAAGATACATTTGGTTGGAATGGCTGAGATTAATTTTGGGTTTGATCCAACGGGTGACAGGAATTTTTTGAACCTTTGTCCTACGTGGCATCATTGCATCAAGGGCTGGGAGATGATACCAACATTCAATGGTTGAGATCAAGCCATCCTTTCTCTTTCTTTTTCTCTGCTTTTCTTTTCTCTTCTCTCTCAACCTCGCTTCTCACATTTCAAATTTCAAACTTCTTCAGAGAGACCATGCTACCACTCTCTCTCTCTTCATGTCTCCACCATGGGTTTGTGAGTTGAGAAGGGCTGATTGAGACTTGAAAGCGCTTGATCTACAAAGTGCTAATGGACAACTATAGCTTGAAGGCAATGATCTATGAGTAGTTGATTTCGACGACTGAAGCTCTTCAAGCAAGCATGGCAGGCCAAGAAGAGATTGAGGCCACTTTGGTTCAGAGATCTAACAACAGATCCAGTGGGTATCCCCATCACGAACCCCTAATATCACTCTCTTTATATTTGTATAAACAATTGTCAATTTCCGACAATATTGAACTAAAATTTGTGTTTTTATTTCATTGCATTTATTAAATCTTCTATTTGTATTCCTATCATTAGTTAGAATAACACCCAACATGCTTGGAGGTGTCTTTAGAGGCTTCCTCATGAAATTGAGTCCAAAATTTCAACTGTGAATAAGGCTCTTCTCGAAGCAGCAGCTTTTTGCTCGGCCACCAATTGCAGTGCATTTGGCTGGGTCTATGTGGGAGTGAATCTTGATTCTAGAGAGCTTCTCGCCATTAAGCAGGTTCATTTTTATGTGTGTCTTTTTTTCTTTTCTTTTTTATGTATAGTTAAATTTGGTGTTAGTTTCTTCAATTGTTTTAGTATTGATTTTTATGTGTATCTAAGAGGGTTTCAATTGCAAAAAGAGTGCTTCAAAAGAGAAAACCATATCCAATTAATAGCTTTATTTACAGTTATGTTGTTGAATCTTACAATTTGTATATGAAGCATTGTATACATTTGATTTTATTTGTGAAGTGATGATTGGTTGGGTCCTTTATAGCAAAGTAAAAAATTGATTTTTACTTGCAAGATTAGTGTTCAGATTCATTGTTGCTTCCAATTTAGTTTTAGTGTTTATTGTGGCCAATACAAGCTATGCATTTCATATCATCTCTGTTTCTTTTTCTCAACTAATTTGTTATATGTTGCTTCATGCATTGCTAGGAATGTAAAATTTTGGCCTCTTCTTGTCTTTCAATGATTAAAAATATTGTCTTTTGGACTTATCTAATAGTCATGACACAAATTTTTGATTTTTTCTTGAATTTTTCAAAGAATAGTTTGTGTTTTTTTTAAGGTCTTTTTAATTATAATTATAATTTTAATTATTTGATCTATTTACAAAGCTTAGATAATTGGAAAAATAGCAAGTTCATCAATGTGTGTTCTATGTTTACTTCACTGTGGTAATTTACTATCTAAATCAAAGTGTTTGGAGAGGTTTTCCTAATTCGTATTTTTGCTAGTGTTGAAATTTGCCCCCCGATTCAACTAGGAAGACTTCTTTACGATAGTTATCATTTTATTGTTAGGTTTCACTATATAAAACCTGTGTAATCTTCTCTCTCATATTCATATTTGGAATTTTCGCTCAATGCTATTTTTCATGTGTTTGAACCAATGATGGGATCAAAATTATGCTTACCAATGGTATATTTAGAGCTATTAGAGAAGTACATGAATTTTGTGCTGAAAAAAGGAGATTAGTTACAAAACAAATTGGAAGAAGATTATTTGTTGCTATGACAACATCATTGCAGAAAATTGTGAAACATGCAATTATCACTTTTAAACATGGGTTTGCTGAGTTTTTTTTGGTATTTTTCAGATTCAAACCATAAAATCATCTAATTCAATGATATTATAGTAAGCTATTCATACATATTTTATTGTTCTTCTGATTGTTTTTATTACTGAGATGAGGATAAGGCTCAACGGTAAAGCTTGCCAGGTGGCGTAAGTTCGAGTCAGGTAAACATCCTCCCTAGAAATGGGGATAACAGCATCCACAATGGACACACTAACGCGTTTGTTAGTGTCAATTGCCAAGTTTTAGCTAGCAGCGGTGTGTGTTTGGGGCTGCAATGGAGTCGTTAGTGCGTGTGTTAGTGGGCTTCGTTAGCGTCAGTTGCTAAATGGTTTGTTAACTGCGGCTAGCGCTTTAGCTAGCGTAGGGAAGTGTTTTTTTTGTCTTCCGGGTTGACCGGACGTCCGGCCGGTTGACCCAGTCAACGGAATTATTTTTTTATTTTTTTATTTTTTTACGTATTGGGATTTTTTTTTGGACTTAAAATTTAATTTTGGACTTGAAATTTTTTATTAAACTAAATTATTTATTTATTTTATTTATTATATGCACATATATATATATATATATATATTTAACACACATCTTAACACATCCATTGCACCACCACTCACTCTCTAAAATTAACAAACTCTTAACACATCTTAACAAATATTTTTGGGCCTCACTTTTATTACTTTTTGTCATATAACACACTTTAACAAACAATTTTAGCTATCTCATTGTGGATGCCCTAAGGCTCCCTAGACAGTCTTCTCATGAACTGGGTCACCCCATTATTTATTATACATAGATACATACATTCATTATGTATAGCATTTAAAAAGGAAGTTTTGTTATTACATTGGATGCGGGCGTTCTCGTCGCGATCCATGGCATCCCCTTGTAGATTTTGTTGAGAGAATGGGGATTTGTCACCTAACAACCTGCAATTCAGTTGATGAAAATGAAACTAAACAAGAAATTATTAGAGTGAGTGAAAGTTCTAGAGAGAGAGAGAGAGAGAGGGGGGATGGATACTTGAAGAAGAGCCATTCGAGAAGGGCGTAACGCTCCATGCCGGCAAATAGGAGAGACTGAGCAGGTGCGGTGGCTCTTGGGTAATTCAGCATCCCCAATTTTCTCTGTATCTCTTCCATTTGCTTTGCCGCCATTCGATTCGATCTTCCCTTTATCTTCTCTCTGCCGAATCCAACTTTTACACAGATCGCCCCAACTGCCGCCACTGAAGACACAAAGAGGACTGAGTTTGAATATTTTGCCCTATGATTCTCTATCCCTCAAGAAATTTTTGGCTCAAAAAAACAAAAAAACAAAAAACAAAACAATACAGAATAAAGAAAAAGAATAAAATTTTGGACATTTACTAATAAATCCTGGACCATTTATCCCATAAATAATCTTTCTTAATTTGTATGCCATGTCTAGGGCTGAGAAAGAAATCGAAAAAAACACAATATGAATCCGTCTAGTCTAATTTGGTAGGTTTGAATTGATTTTTTTGAATTCATGATTTGATTCTGATTTGAAAAATTTGTAAATCGATTTTCAGGGATTGATTCTGAATTTAAATTCACGGTTACAAATGAATCAGATCTTATGTAAGTTAAAACTATGTACTTACCATACACCCTGATGCATACAATCTTAGATATTTTGTTTATTTAAATTATGTTTTGAAAAATCATGGCTAAATTAATGAATATGTGCTTAATGTTATGTTTTTATTTGGTGAACGTGTTATTATTATTTTTAAAATTTATGGTAAGTTGAATTTTTTTGAAAATGTTTATGATTTTTCTTTTGAACAAATTATGTGAAAATCGTGATTCCAAACCGAGTCGCATTTTGTTTAAATGGTTTGGTTCTAATTGGTTCAAAGATTTAAATTGATTGATTTGATTCCAATTTTTATAGAATTGTAAACAACATATTTGTAACAACCCAAAATAATAACAACAGTCCATCTCATAGTATTCAATGGAAAAACATAAATTTACATGATATTAACCTTTCATTGATTTTATTTTAGCGTACAGAAGATGACATATGTATATATACATTCATAAATCCTAAATTTTGAATCTATAGTATATGACATGTGTAAATGAATGGTAGTAAAAAGAAGTGCAACTAAGTTTACGCCTCAATAGTTACATCTTTCCAAGTCATCGCTTAGGTACAAAAAACTAAGTTTAAACTCAATACATAGAAAACCCAAGGCTTGTACAAAATAATTACACAAAAGAAATAAAAAGAAATTCTTGGCTCCAAATCCTCCCAAGCTATGTTCTTGGCAAAGGCATTTCATCAACACCTAAAAGTTATTTTCCACATAAGGTGAGCTAAAGCCCAATAGAGATACTTCAACAAAATGTTCGAAGCTTAACAAAATCATAAGGTAAATGCATATGCATGCTATTTGCCAATCATTATGCGTTCTCTTTCAAAACAACACAATGCCTCAATTATATGCATATCAATTCTTAAAACAATACTTTTTGAATCAGAAAACAAGGCAGTGGATACAAACACTGGGAATCTCTTGGTACGTATCTGTCAGCAGGCTATATAAGTACTATCAAAGCTATTTTACCAATACCAACTGGAAGGATCAATACCTAATCATGTGGGTTTCTGGACTTTCACTAAGGACACACATACCAATATAATAAACCACAACTACACCCCCTAATTAAATTCATCAAGGTATACACATTTTTTTCTTAAAACAATACATTTTCAATATTTAAGTATGAAACAACGTTTAATGCAAGATGTATGAGTAATTAGTTTCAATTAACCTAATCCTCATGTAATTTCTACAACAATCAAAGCTATCCTACACCGATAGCCCAAAACAGATATCTCTGCTCAACAGATAATTTTTTAACAATAGATATAATCTCATAAACTTCAAAATGGGAGCAATAATATATATCCAACTTCGCTCTTATCATCAACTGATACATTTAGCTTATCTTTTCAAACCCAACATCTTTTCATTTTCTTTCATAAATCAAACATCAATGATTTTCCAATAAAACATCATTTACTTTCAAAAATCATGTTTTATAAATGAATTTCCAACATTTTAACACAACCCAACAATATTCACACTCCCACAACCCTTCTTACGAATCCATACGAAAAATCCCCCATTTATATTTCAAAATCAAGCCCTAGATTTAAACCCTAAATCCCCAAATCACTAAACATTTTTAACGAACAAATAACCAAGCTAAGAATCATACAAAGGTTGAAGAAATTCCTACCTCAAGAATAGAAGAGGAAGAGAACAAGAGTATAAGTTTGACAGAGCCAAAAACAAAATCTCTTTTGATTAAAACGAAGCTTTCAACGAGCTCTATCTTTTTCTCTAAGGAACTATGGTAGAAATCAATCGATTTGGGTGTATTTGAGGTATTCAGGCAAGAACTAGAGAGAGATTTGGGTGTATTTGAGGTATTCAGGCAAGAACTAGAGAGAGAGAGAGAGAGAGAGAGAGAGAGTGGAGAAATTAGGTTTAGAAGTGTTTTAGAGAGAGACAGAGAGAGATGAAAAAGTGACTAAAAAAGGCTTTATTTCAATCTAATACACGCACAGATTGCTCAAGCAACCAAAACACCGCTCGAGGATCAGACACAATAAGTGACATTGCTTGAGTGCACAATGACCCCCTCCTAAAAGTTCAGAAGACCTGCAAAAGACTGCTCGAGTGAAGATCATCCTACTTCCAGAAGTTTTACAAACCTGCAAAATATTGGGAGACCTCAAAGACTGCTCGAGCAAATAAAAAATGAAATGGACAATAACTCATTTGAAAAACTAACTCCCAACGTATTTCAATGTGATATCCGAACCCGTACTATGCTTAATTATGTATGTGATTATGTGTTTGATATGAATTTGCAAGTTAAGTATGTGAATTATGTGAGTTTAGAATCATCTCTGTTGAATGTAGGAATATTTGTTGCGATTGGAAATTTGAACTGAAAATAGAAAGCCTTAGAGGCACGACAAACCAAAACCAACTCCACAACTGTGATTAGCATGATTTTTAGAGCCACAATGAATTTTGAAAAATTACGATTCGTAATGTTTTAATTAAGTTTTATGAGTTAAGTTATATCTATGTATTTGGCTCTTGAGTTCATCATTTTGATTGAGAGCTTGCTTGAGTGAGTTAGAGAAAGAGGAAGACGAAGAGCTAGGGTTTTGGAAGAGAATCAAAGGGCAAACCTTAGACTTGAGTTAAGGTATGATAGTCTACTTATAATCTTTGTCTCTAACTCATCTTTGGCATAAAATAAAGAAGAAATTGGGAATTTTGAGCTAGGGTTTTGAGTTGTGTAAGGGTTTGAAATAAAATCATGAAATCTCTTTATTTTTGTTTGATTTGAGTTCATTCTTGTGATTGATCCATGAAACAAACTCTAAATGGTTTATACAACCAAGATTTGTTAGAAGATTTACCATGTTTGTTTGTATTTTGAGTTTGTGTATGATATTCATGATTGTATAAAAAAGATGAGTCAATGAATTTAATGTTGAAGCAACAGTGATATGTTTAAAGTGAAATTATACCTAAATCATGCAAGTATATCAGGTTTTTGAGTGAGTTTTGCTTTGATTTGGACATGGAGATGAGTTTGGGAAGTTTGCATTTTTATACCATTTTCGGGCTGTCTGATTTTGCCTAAACCGCACGAGCGACCATGGGCTCCATATGAGTGGAACATGAAGAAAAATAAAGGTTTTCATTCTGCTCTTTGGGCACTCGAGCGGCCAGTGTTTCCCCTCGAGCCGCTCAAGCAAATTTGGGCCGCACGATCAGTTAAGACTTTCGAACGTATGGAACCCCTGTTTCAGCCCAACTTCAAAAAGGCATATCGGCTTCATCCAAACCCCATTTTAAGCGATTCTTGAGCCTAAATTCAAGCCTTGAAAGTCTAGTTTCTAATGGTGGTGGTCTCAAATCCATATTCTAAGTACACAAATAGATATGCTCAAATTAGTGAATGCTATTTATTTTTTTTAACCGTTTCATGCCATTTCCTACCCTAACTTAATTTCCTTTCGCTTCCTTCTATTTCCTTAAACCTTAAATACGTAAACATGATATTTTTAATGAAAAACAAATGAAATTTTTGTAGGAAACATCAATTTAAATCATGAACATTTAGGGCCATTTAAAGTACATCTTTGGCACATGCTTCATACGTGATTCACATGTAGAGAAGACTAGCATTAAACACTTGAGAGAAATTAAAGAATGGGGAACGATTGAATGGATATGTAATGAATAAATCAATTGAGTGAATTGAATGCAATGTGTTTTGCAATGTTATACTTGGTTATGTTTCTGCAGGCTAAGTCGTTAAGGAGTATCATCCGACCAAGCACTATAAGTAATTTATTTGTAATGGTATTTTCATATGAAATACTTTGGAATTGTGAAACTTATGCTTTGTATAAATTATGTTCCTTGACGAGTGTTTCCAAAATGATAAAATATGCTTGAAATATTCGGAGTAATTATGCTATGGCAAGTTTCTGAAAGAATGTTTTGATAAGACTGAATGAGTTTCCTTTTGAGCAACGATTATGATAAATTGGGAAAATGTACTTTGACCCTTAGTAACTGTTATTTGTCTGTGAGCCGCCTTGGACGTTTTGTATAAGCTAATGATTCGCTATGAACGTTATGTATGATGTCAATCTTTGACAAATGTCCTATATGGTAATTCAGCAAGTTAATTAAGGCCTAAATCATGGTGAGTGATAGTATCGTACATATATATTTTGATTGTGCACCTTGAGCTATGAAGGTCAATTGAGCCAACATTGTGTTTTGATCGAAATGAATGAACTTCATAAATGTTATATGACATGTGTAATGTGGACCTAATGTTGTTTTGTTCTGTTTTGATATGTAATTGGGCCCGATGCCGTTTTGATATATGATTGGGCCCAAGGCCGTTCTGTACTTATGTAGGCCTGAGGCTGTTCTAATATTAATGGGCCCGAGGCCGTTCTGTATTATATGTAGGCCCGAGTGTAGACACCCTATTTTTGACCGCCCTTAAGACTTGGGCGCTTTATTCCAAATACCTGATGATAAAAGTTACACTGCGCAATCTTTCAAATTCTTAGCGAAGAAATTTGGATTCAAGCTCTACTCCCAAACCTTACACCCCATTTTGGCCAAATTATTTTAGACCTTAAAACCCTCTTTTTCAAAATATTTTTCCAAATGTTTCTACGATGTTTCGAGGCCCACATTTCGATTAAAATATTACACTTTTCGATAAACCGAGTAAGGACAAAGTGGAAATAAATGGAAGGGAGGTGAACTCTTTGAAAAATATTTAAAAACATTTCACGAAGGACACACAGGCCAACATCATAACCACACCCCCTGACCAAATTAACCAAGACATTCACCAATTTTTCTCAAAACGAAAACATTTACAATGTTCAATATGAAATGATGCTCAATGCACAATGTATGAGAAATTAGTTTCAATTTAACTTAATCCTCATGCAATGTCTATAACAAGCAAGACTATCCTCCATTGATAGCCTAAAACAAATATTTCTATACAACCAATAGTTTTCAATCAAAATATATATAATTCCATCCTTTTATCAATGGGAGTGATATTACATATCCAACTCCACCATCATCATCAACATAAGCATTGTTCCAATCTTATAAAACCCACCATCATTTTTCATTTCCTATCACAAATCTAAATATTCCAAATTTTAGAACAAAACCCCCTTTACTTACAAAATCAATTTTAAGAAAGGATATCCACCATTTTAACATATCTCAAGCATAAATACATCCCCACAACCATTCTCAAGAACCCATTTGGAAAACCCCTCTTTTGGTTTCAAAATCAAACCCTGGGTTTTCCCAAAAACTTCCAAATCACTAGCCCATTTCAAAGAGCAAATAACTATGCCAAAAATCATATTAAAGGTCAAACAAATCCCTACCTCAAGGTAGGAGACAAGAGGGAATAAAGGTAGAAGCATGGTGAAGCTAAAAACAATAACTCCTCTGATTGAAACGAAGCCCTCAACATGCTCAATCTTTTTCTCCAAAGGACTAGGGTGAAGAAATCAAAGGATTAAGAGTATTTAGAGCTAGAATGTAAGAACCTATAGAGAGGGAGAGAGAGACATGAGAGAGACAGAGAAACAGAGTGTAGATTTAGGGTTTTCAAATGTTTAGAGAGAGAATGAGATGAAAAAGTGACTCAAAATGGCCTTTTCACAGACTGATATACGCACAGACCACTTGAGCGTAAGCCACAATAAGTGACACCACTCAAGCGACCAAAACCACTGCTTGAGTGCACAATGACCCCCTCCTAAAAGTTCAGAAGACCTGCAAAAGACTGCTCGAGTGAAGATCATCCTACTTCCAGAAGTTTTACAAACCTGCAAAATATTGGGAGACCTCAAAGACTGCTCGAGCAAATAAAAAATGAAATGGACAATAACTCATTTGAAAAACTAACTCCCAACGTATTTCAATGTGATATCCGAACCCGTACTATGCTTAATTATGTATGTGATTATGTGTTTGATATGAATTTGCAAGTTAAGTATGTGAATTATGTGAGTTTAGAATCATCTCTGTTGAATGTAGGAATATTTGTTGCGATTGGAAATTTGAACTGAAAATAGAAAGCCTTAGAGGCACGACAAACCAAAACCAACTCCACAACTGTGATTAGCATGATTTTTAGAGCCACAATGAATTTTGAAAAATTACGATTCGTAATGTTTTAATTAAGTTTTATGAGTTAAGTTATATCTATGTATTTGGCTCTTGAGTTCATCATTTTGATTGAGAGCTTGCTTGAGTGAGTTAGAGAAAGAGGAAGACGAAGAGCTAGGGTTTTGGAAGAGAATCAAAGGGCAAACCTTAGACTTGAGTTAAGGTATGATAGTCTACTTATAATCTTTGTCTCTAACTCATCTTTGGCATAAAATAAAGAAGAAATTGGGAATTTTGAGCTAGGGTTTTGAGTTGTGTAAGGGTTTGAAATAAAATCATGAAATCTCTTTATTTTTGTTTGATTTGAGTTCATTCTTGTGATTGATCCATGAAACAAACTCTAAATGGTTTATACAACCAAGATTTGTTAGAAGATTCACCATGTTTGTTTGTATTTTGAGCTTATGTATGACATTCATGATTGTATAAAAAAGATGAGTCAATGAATTTGATGTTGAAGCAACAGTGATATGTTTAAAGTGAAATTATACCTAAATCATGCAAGTATATCATGTTTTTGAGTGAGTTTTGCTTTGATTTGGACATGGAGATGAGTTTGGGAAGTTTGCATTTTTATACCATTTTCGGGCTGTCTGATTTTTCCTAAACCGCACGAGCGACCATGGGCTCCATATGAGTGGAACATGAAGAAAAATAAAGGTTTTCATTCTGCTCTTTGGGCACTCGAGCGGCCAGTGTTTCCCCTCGAGCCGCTCAAGCAAATTTGGGCCGCACGATCAGTTAAGACTTTCGAACGTATGGAACCCCTGTTTCAGCCCAACTTCAAAAAGGCATATCGGCTTCATCCAAACCCCATTTTAAGCGATTCTTGAGCCTAAATTCAAGCCTTGAAAGTCTAGTTTCTAATGGTGGTGGTCTCAAATCCATATTCTAAGTACACAAATAGATATGCTCAAATTAGTGAATGCTATTTATTTTTTTTAACCGTTTCATGCCATTTCCTACCCTAACTTAATTTCCTTTCGCTTCCTTCTATTTCCTTAAACCTTAAATACGTAAACATGATATTTTTAATGAAAAACAAATGAAATTTTTGTAGGAAACATCAATTTAAATCATGAACATTTAGGGCCATTTAAAGTACATCTTTGGCACATGCTTCATACGTGATTCACATGTAGAGAAGATTAGCATTAAACACTTGAGAGAAATTAAAGAATGGGGAACGATTGAACGGATATGTAACGAATAAATCAATTGAGTGAATTGAATGCAATGTGTTTTGCAATGTTATGCATGGTTATGTTTCTGCAGGCTGAGTCGTTAAGGAGTATCATCCGACCAAGCACTATAAGTAATTTCTTTGTAATGGTATTTCATATGAAATACTTTGGAATTGTGAAACTTATGCTTTGTATAAATTATGTTCCTTGACGAGTGTTTCCAAAATGATAAAATATGCTTGAAATATTCGGAGTAATTATGCTATGGCAAGTTTCTGAAAGAATGTTTTGATAAGACTGAATGAGTTTCCTTTTGAGCAACGATTATGATAAATTGGGAAAATGTACTTTGACCCTTAATAACTGTTATTTGTCTATGAGCCGCCTTGGACGTTTTGTATAAGTTAATGATTCGCTATGAACATTATGTATAATGTCAATCTTTGACAAATGTCCTATATGGTAATTCAGCAAGTTAATTAAGGCCTAAATCATGGTGAGTAATAGTATCGTACATATATATTTTGATTGTGCACCTTGAGCTATGAAGGTTAATTGAGCCAACATTGTATTTTGATCGAAATGAATGAATTTCATAAATGTTATATGACATGTCACTACAAGAAAATGCATGTTTGGCGACTAAAATTGGCGACCAAACCAATTTTAGTCGCCAAAAACACCACATTCAGCGACAAAAAACATCTTTAGTCGCCATTGATTAAACCTTTTTAGCTACTAAAGTATTGTAGTCGCCATATATTATAATTGGCGACCAAATTTCCATTTAGTCGCTGTTTAATAGAAGTTTAGGCTACTAACATTTAATTTTGTCGCCATATTGTATCATTTGGCGACTAAACACTTTTTATCGCCAAAAAAAGGGCATTTTTGTGATTACTTTTTGCGACCAAATCTGGTTTAGTCGTTGTTTATTCAGTATTACCGACAATTTTTTTAATTTAGTAGCCAAAGAGGCATCTATAGGTGACCAATTATTTGTCGCCGTTAAGGTTTTTGGCGACAAATAATCGTTTAGTCGCCAAATGTTTGAAAAAAAATTTAGAGGGAAAATAAGTAATTTCGCGCCCAGTACATATATATTACACAGAGTGTTTTTTGTTCTCTTCTGTCTCACACACCGACATCAACATACCAAACCCGTCCCTACCAAACCCGTCGCTCACCACCGGCGATCATCACCATCGCAGGCCACCGGCGCTCGCCACGACCACCACTGCAAATCGGCGATCAGCATCACCGGCCATCATCACCATCGCAAGTATGTTTCTGTCGTCTCTTTCCTTCTCTGTCGATCTGGTTCTATCTGGTTCTATCTGGTTCTATCTATTTGTCGATGTCTCTCACATCTCCTTCTCTCACGATTAATTTTAGGGTTTGACATTTCATTTCCCTTTATTTCGTACACAAATTTGTGGAGGACTATCTGGTTCTATGTGGAGGACATTTCATTTCCCTTTATTTCGTACACAAATTTTAGGGTTTGTCCTTTCATTTCCCATTTATTTCGTACACAAATTTTTAGGGCTTTTCCTGATTTCGTGAATGGGTGTGGTTGAAATTGCGATTGTCCATTTCGATTTTGGATTGCTGATTTTGGATTCTGTTTCTATCGTTTAAATGTGCCTCTGTTTCTGCGATTTCTATGTTCCAAATGTGCCTCTGCTTTTTCTCCCTTTCAGGTTTTACCATGCTTATGACAACTATATGACTTATGCTTTTCCGGTCAGTTCTACTTCCCACTATATGAGATATTATTTATATTTGATGAATATTATGAAGTTGTGGTCTATTGGTTCTGTAGCATGATGAACTAAAGCCTCTAGCCAAAACATTCACCGACTCCCTTGTCCAGCTACGAAATTTGAAGGTGATTCTTTATTTTTTAAATTTGTTGCAGTGTTCAGCTTTAAATGGATAATTTAAAAGTCCTACTGTTTCAAATTTTAGCTTGAACATTTGCCACAACAGCATCATGGATCTGCCCTCACACTTGTAGAATCGCTATCCAGGTATGATATACTCTTTCTTAGAGACAAGTTCTTAAAAATCAATGTACTTGTATTTTTATCTTATATGCCCTTCTTATGCTGTCACCAAATATCTTTGTATTTAATTTTATTTCAATATTATTACTGATTGTGCCACTGAAGTATTTGTAACAGAGTATATGTTAATACTGTTTCTGTTTCTCAGCCTTGTTATCATTGGGGAACAACACAGAATTTGAAACGGGCTGTTCTTTGGCTTCCTGAAAATCTAACTTTTCATGTTGATGCGAGGATACATCTTCTTCAGGTATTTTAATGTTTTTAATTTAGGATTTAGTGAAGTTGTTTGAGTCAAAGTTTCATTTAATGTGGCCTCAGTTTGCTAATGCAGTCAAGCTTGAGCAATGTTGCTTTTTCTTTTTCTTTTGTTTTATTCTTTAGCAGGGAGTGCTAAATCAAGTTGCATTTTAAGTATCAGATTGTCTTTAATGGTGTTTTCACTATTGTGTAGTGCAACATAAGAGTTCTTGGAGGACTTGTTTCTGCTCATATTCTTGCAACTGATTCTACAAATAGCTTGGTCCAAAGAAATTATAAGAATCAACTTCTTATCCTGCCATAAGATTTACGGCCGCGCTTTCTACCTGCTTTTGATACCCCCACTGGATTGCCATATGCATGGATTAACTTGAAGGTACTTCTTATATCATGCTTAACTTATAAGACAAATTCCAAATCCCCAATTGTTTACAAATTGTTATGTATCCAAGATGTTTTATTTAACCTGGTAAAGTAGCTTTGAATTTTTTGTATCTCTTCAGAATCATCAATGGTGCTTTGCATTTGCTGTAGTACCATGGTTTCAAATGTTTGCATTGTCTTAGCATTAACGTTTGGGAATTTTGTATACGTATACTATGTGGAACTCATGCCATATTGACTATACGCTGATATTTCCATTGTGTTGGCGTTATTTGTCACATTTAAGTATTTGATCAATATCACTTATATATTCATAAGTTTTTACCCCTCTTCTCTTGCAGACACTTGAGGTTGATTTCTACAAGTGAAAATAATTTCTTTAAAAGTCAGCCTCAGTTGAGAAATCTGTGGCCACCACATAAGAAATTAGGATTACAAAGTCTAATTAACATACCAAACTGTACGAAAAACTTGAGGTTTACACTGTCGTTGATTTCTATAGTTGAAAATAATTTCTTTAAAAGTCAGCCTCAACTGAGAAATCTGTGGCCACCACATAAGAAATTAGGATTACAAAGTGTGATTAATCAATAGCCTAAATATTGTCACATCTTTCTTCTGCAAACCTTTGGAACTCCATAGAAACAATAGAGGATAATCTGCTCAATATGATGATTAAAGAACATGGTCGTTCTTTCACGCATAATTCGTTGAAAACAGATGAAAAAAAATCTCTCTGATCTCCAGGGATAGCTGTACCCTTTCAACCATACCGTTGATTTTGAAAGCACCTAACTTGACAATCTAAGTTGCACAAGAAGTTGCACTATCTTACTGTAGAATGGGACAATAATAGAATGGCAATGGCCAATGTAAGGCACCAAACCATATTCTAACTACATTTCATTTGTCTAAGCCCTCAATAGGCTTGGGCCATCTCTAGTTCTTCAGTGCTCCTGTGATATTGTTTAGTGTCAAAATTAGAGTGAAAAATCAGCTTGTCTCTAGTTCTTGAGATATTGTTTAATATCAAAATGAAAGTGAAAATATGTTCAAAATATGTGAGAAAGAGTTTTAAAAGTAACAGACAAAGTGTTTATGAGATTGATGAATTTTATTGTTTGTTTCTGATGTTGTAATTTTTTTCTGGTAATCGAAATTGAGAATATGACCTATGCAATAATAAATAAACCCATTTATAATGACAAGAGAGTCACAGTGGCCATTGTTGATGTTCCAATCTAAATGTATCAACGGTTCAATCCTTCTTTTTACAAGAGACTCACAGTGGCCATTTTTAAATTTTTTCAATTTTCTTTTTTGTTAGATGATAGTTACAAGGATCTCCATTTCTACATGTGCATCATGTGTGTTTTGAACTTCTAGCTTATGTACTTAGAATAATGATATATAAACAATGTTTTTATAAAACTAAATAAAAATATTCATAATGATGTAACTTCTTGTAATCATTTTATTTTCAATCAAAATATCCATAATTATTTTCATAATTTTATAAATGTCATTGATAGATTATTGTGGATCTAGTTTCTATATAAATTTTTTGTTTATAAATCGTTTTATAAAGTTGATATATGTATATTTACGATTTAAAGCTTGATTTGGTAGGAATAGAATAAAGATACAAATACTAATCCAAGAAGCTAGAGTTAGAAGAAAATTTGATAAAGATTAATGATTTCTTATAAGCTTTGTCATTTTGTTTGGATGATAGAAATTTAGCTTTTGTCCTTAGAGACAATTTATGTATTATGAAAATTATATATATAATAATTTTTAATCTCACTGATTTTAGTAAATTTTATTAAATTTGGTTAGGATTATTTCTCTCCCTCTAAGATGACTCCACATAGAATTGTGAATGTATGTCACATTTGCGTGTCAATACATGCCAAGTTAGTAGTGACGTTAGCCAACTATATGCAATTGACAAATTGGCAAAACATCCCAATCTGTTATTACTATTTTGTTAATTTCAAAAAACAATGCTAATCGAACCCCTAAACTTACTTAAGCTCTCTTCTATTACAGAGTATTTTTCGAAGTTGCCGTCCATTCGCAGGTTCATCTTCGCTTCATGTCTACTGTTCTAATAATGGACAAGAGTTGGATGATGATAACGGATAGGCTAAAAAGTAAAGACTATGTACAAGGTGTTCAGTTATTTATTGAGTTCGCTACGAAGAATTTAGGGCCGCAGGATGAAATTCGTTGTCCTTGTGTTGATTGCTTGAACAGCACGAAATTACCTCGACATGTTGTACGGTTGCACTTGATTCGAAGAGGAATCGCATGTTCTTATCGAACTTGGGTCCACCACGGGGAACGTGTTCCCAAGTTTCGTGCTCATCCTACTATGCGAAACGATGATACTCAAACCAATCGAGCTGGAATGACAAAGGTTCACGAAAATGTGGATGAACTTCCAACCATGTTACAAGAGATTTACATGAGTGGTCTCATGGATGATCATATCGACGAAGAACGTACTTGTTCGGAGAGGCACAATTTGTTGAAATTCATTACGTTGTTCGATGATGCTCAACGTCAAGTATATCCACAGTGTGAAAAGTTCTCCATCTTGTCCTTTGTAATTAAGATGCTTCACTTGAAGGTGCACAATAAATGGAGCAACAAATCTTTCGATATGGTTATGCAAGTTTTCAAAGACATTCTACCAAAGTGTGATGAAAATGTTCCATGGACCCTTTATGAAGCGAAAAGGTTCTTACGTGAGTTGGGTTTGGGATTTGAGGCCATTCATGCATGCAAGAATGATTGTACGTTATTTTGGAAGGACAACGCCGCATTGGAGAATTGCCCTACATGTACGGAGTCTAGATACAAGTTGAACGACAAGACGGGTAAAAAAATTTCACACAAAATCTTGAGGTACTTTCCTTTGACACCGAGGTTGAAGAGATTGTACATGTCAAAAAAAACAGCTGCATATATGAGATGGCACAAAGATAAGCGTCTGGATGATGGAGTATTGCGACATCCAGCTGATGGTGAGGCATGGAAGGACTTTGATAGGCTGCATCCTACGTTCTCTGCGGATCCTCGGAATGTATGGCTAGGGCTTGCAACGGATGGTTTCAATCCATTCGGACATATGAGTACATCGTACAGGATGTGGCCCGTAATCTTAATGCCTTACAATCTACCCCCATGGAAGTGTATGAAAGATCCATTTGTCATGATGTCATTGCTTATTCCTGGACGATCCGCACCGGGAAGGGACATCGATGTTTACTTGCAACCATTAGTTGAAGAGTTAACTAATCTGTGGGAGCATGGTGTGCAAACATATGATGCCTCAAACGGCCAAATATTTACAATGCATGCAGCAGTCATGTGGACCATCAACGATTTCCCTGCATATGGTTCCTTGTCTGGTTGAAGTACAAAAGGTTACCTGGCCTGCCCTTATTGTAACATCGATGCATCATCTCAGAGTTTGCGAAGTAAGATTGGGTATATGGGTGCTCGGCGGTACTTACCTGAGAACCATAATTGGCGTAGAAGTAAGCTATTCAATGGGGAAATTGAGAATCGGTCCAAACCTGTGGAGTTATCGGGAGAACAAATATTGCAGCAAATTAATTTCGGGACGTACAAGCCGTATGGAAAGCATCCAACCAACCAAAAAAGACAACGGACTGAAAATCCAACTCCGAACTGGACAAAAAGAAGCATTTTGTTCGACCTACCCTATTGGAAAACACTTAAGCTTCGACATAACCTTGATGTCATGCACATAGAGAAGAATATATGTGACAATCTGCTTGGGACACTATTGAGCATTGATGGCAAGAACAAGGACACTGCCAAAGCACATTTGGATCTAGAGGACATGCGAATACGAAAGGAGTTACACTTGATAAGGCATGCGAATGGCTCTTTCCAGAAGCCTTCGGCATTGTACACATTGTCCCCGGCAGAACGAATAGGGTTTTATGATTTCTTGCAATCAATTAAGTATCCTGATGGCTATGCGTCAAATGTATCCAATTGTGTCACGGCGAAAGGTGGTAAGTTAGTTGACCTCAAGAGTCATGACTGTCATGTCCTTCTACAACGACTTCTTCCCATTGGGATGCGAGGATACCTTCCTACCGAGATTGGCACCACGTTGTTTGAGTTTAGAACTTTTTTCAAACAGTTGTGCTCAAAGACATTGAGGGTCACTGATTTGGAGAAATTGCAAGAAGAAATCGTACTTATACTTTGTAAGCTTGAAAAGATTTTTCCTCCTGCTTTTTTCGATGTGATGGTCCACTTGGCAATTCATTTGCCTTACGAGGCTAGGCTTGGAGGGCCTGTCCAATTTCGATGGATGTATCCTATTGAGAGGTATAACAACGAGTCAGTAATTTTTTCTTGTAATTATAGTTCAATATGAACATACTGACGATCACGCCGATGTTTATGTGTAGGATGCTTGGACTTCTTAAAGGATTTGTGGGCAATAAAGCTCGTCCAGAAGGATCCATTGCGGAGGCCTACATATCCAAAGAGTGTACGATGTTTTGTTCAATGTATTTGCATGGAGTTGAAACGGTGTTCAACCGGGAAGAAAGGAACTACGATGGGGGTGCCAATGGCCCGGGGTTGGCGATCTTCACTCAAATTCTTCGTCCTTTTGGTCAACTCCCCAGGGCTGTTGATGTGTCCGTAGCTGACCGCGAATTGGCTCATTGGTTTGTCCTACACAATAGTTTGGAAGTGGACGAATATCTAGAGTATGCTTCTTAATCATATATGCAACATACCTTTTCTACATGGTTTTTATTTTTTAAAGTCTTCATTATTCCAATTACTTATGACTTATATCGTATTAACTAGGGAACACAAGCTTGTGTTGCAACAAAAATATGGAAGTTCATGCAACATTACAACTCGACAATGCAAAGAATTCCCTAAATGGTTCAAACATCGCGTAAGATTATGTAACATGTTACTGTTAAGTGTGGAGATAACGTTGAATTATTCTAAGTTGGAATTGACATAACATACTTTCTTGTGTAGATGAACCAATTGCGAAATGAAAACTCACCCGAAGCAACCGATGAGATGTGGTCATTAGCCAATGGACCTAATGCCTTAGTGAATACGTATTCGGGATGCATTTGTAATGGCGTCCGATTCCATACTATCGACCGTGATAACCGTCGTAAATGTCAAAATAGTGGGTTGGTAGTGGAAGGCGACCACGAAGGCCAGTTGATAAAGTTCTACGGCTACCTTTGTAAAGTGTGGGAACTGACATATTTGTTTCGACATCGGGTTGTTTTGTTCCAATGTGAATGGTATAACACCGGTAGTAGTCGAACTTTGCGCGTCGAACCACATGTGACAACTGTTGACGTAAGAAGTCGATGGTATAAAGATGACTCTAAAAGTACTTGTCTTCTTGCGATCAATTGATGATTTATAGTATAAAGAGGTAATGTAAGTTAATAATGTAATGAGGGTATGAGACTATTATTCATGTTTTGAGAGAAGAGATGATTTTCTTTTGTGTTAAAGTCCGACAACAAGAAATATCATGCATACATCTACGCACACAGACCACTCCAACTTAAGTGAAGCTTGAAGAAGTTATTTGTAACGTTAAGTTAAATACTTGTAAGTTTAATACATTTTTTTTTTCATGAAGACAACTAAAGTAATACGCGGACCTAGAGTTTTAACTTAGTTTGTTTCTTTGTTCGGCTTGTTTTGTTGATGTCATGGGGACAATTAAGAATATTGATGAAATTGTAATTTCAATTTCATGCCTACTCTTGAATTTCATGTAATTTGAACCTTGTACTTTTAATTTCCTGTATGATTTCTATGGACTGTTACAGCAAATTGCAAATCATCAACATACTTAGTTCAGATTTTCCATTTGGACAGCTGTGCTATGTGGCTGCTTTTCCCACAATCTGTGCAGATTTGCACAACTGCTCTGTCTCTGTTTGCTGAGTTTGACAGTTTGCCGCTGTGTGCTGTGTGCTGCTGTCTCTGTAACGTGTTGTGTGCTGCTATTTGGTTGTTGGATTTTGCTTTCAAAATACTACTTTGCAATTACTTTATGTTGACATATGATTTTGGTTGGTGTCAATTCTTTTAAGCTAACATTAATGTGCTATTGCAACTTTTAAGCTAACATACATATATCCGATAGCTGACATGGCTGATGGAGACGATCTTTGTAATTGTATAAAGATTGTGTGAATAATGTATGCCGATTAAATTGTGCAGGTTTTACATGCTGCTGGAAAATTTGGTGGTTCAAGTAGTGGTTGCAGTGTCTCGGGGGCCCTACATGGTGTAGGCTGATCTGTTGTTAATGCATTATCTGAGGTGCTAGTTTATTTTCTTATAACTTTATTTGGCCATTCACTTCAAGCTGGTTGAGATATGTATATATATTCATGGTTTTCTCTTTTGTTTTAATGTTGTTGGTTTTGGTGGGCCTTTGAGTTCCTTTTGGCAGTGGAGTAGGCCTTTGAGTTCCTTTTGAGAAAGGGTTACCCTTTGTCACCCTTACTGTTTACCTTACTGGTTGATGTTATAGGCAGATTGATAGGTAGGGCTAAAAAGGTTGTTTTGTGAGTAGGAGGGATGGTGTATCTGTGTTTCATTTGCAGTAGTAGATATGATACCATTTTTCAGGCCTAGCTAATGCTTGAAATTTAACTCAGAATGACCCTTTGTCTTACTTTCCTATTCTGTGACTTTCAGTTTGCTGGCTTCTGGGTCATGGAAGTATTGAGACTCATTTATTCAATAGTCTAAAGTTAATGAGACTAAAGCGACTGTTGTACCAACTGAAGAAGGTTCTCTGCATGGGAGTTGCTGTTTCAAAATGTGCAAATGAGTGTTAATTTTCTGGTTTCATTTCATTAGAAGAACTAGCAAAATGTGTGTTTAGTCTCTTTACACAACTAGACTATGAAGTTGCCATGAATTCATGATTAATTTCACTCAACTGTTACTAGGGGCTGTGCAGGTGTATCTGAATTTCTGCTGTTACTTTTCTATTATCCTTGCTAGCGATCATCAGCGAAGACTCGAACAGCCATGTCAGCCGGTGAGTGCTCTCTCTCTCTCTCTCTGTCTCTCTCTCTGTCTCTCAATTCTAAGCATGGATGCAATGTTCCCTTGATTTTGATGAACACAATCAGAACACATGATAGTACCCTGAAGGTGACTGATATTTTCCATTCCCATTTTCAGTTCTTGACATAAGATATTTGTAGAACCTAATCGCTGCACCTGTTAAATGAAGGCAGTGGAGAAATATTCGAAGAAAACTGTTGATATTCTTACTAGCGATCATCAGCGAAGACTCGAACAGCCATGTCAGCCGGTGAGTGCTCTCTCTCTCTCTCCCTCTCTATGCTTTAATGGAAATCTCTGATTTTGTTGGGCTCTAGTTTCTGAAAACATATTAACCGTCGTAATTTGTGTGCCCTAGTCTCTGTTTTGGTTTGCTCAAATTCGTCACGCTTGGTTATGTTGCTCATGTAATATGTTAATGAATAAGCTAGTCATGTGCTTGTTGCAATGTATATGTTCATGGAAGTCTTCTTCCTGTGGTGCCTTGTTTATGTGCCTAGATTTTTGTTGATATGCCAACCTGTGTAAGTGTCTTCTTCCTGTGGTTACAGACTTCTTTAGGAGGTGTTTATTGGTTTGAATCAGTTAACCACTGACCTTTATGTGAATGTGGGTGATTATTTAGAGGTGTGTATGAGTGGCATTGTGTGGAATCCACAGTTTCAGAGCGCTTTCAAGGGCAGAAAGAAAGCATTTACATCTTGCTGAGACTGCTATAGCCCTATCACATGATACCAGTCCTCTTTACCATACACTTGAAGCCATTGCTACAATAACCTATCTTATTTACATCTTGCTGAGACTGCTATAGCCCTATGACAGCAGTCCCTTTTCTTCTATTACCTCTCTCCCCACCCTCATTTGTCCTCTTTTCAGTCCTTCTTTTGGTCTCCCTCCCCTACCTTCATATCCTCTTCCTATCAGCCTGCTTCTTCACCTACCACTACTGTTTTCCCTCCTCAGCATTTGTCCACATCAGTTCAGCCTTGTCCTGCATCTCAGCCACCTCACCACTGGTCCTCACAGGCTTACTTCTCAGCCTACTTATGTGCTTCCCTCAGACTACCTTTGTAATCAGCTTTGAAAACGTTGAATTAGTTAATGTACTTGGTATCAAAATATGTAGTTTAACTATTTAATTAACTGATGCAGGCAGCTTTTCTCTTTACGGTGGTAGGGACAAAAGGCTTTTTGGGTGTTCTTGCCGGTCGGCTTCCTGGGGTAACTTCACATAATATCCAGAGGCTATGTGAAAATCTGAACTTCCGATATTGTCATATGTTGTATGGGTACAAAATAACTTTTTGAGATTCTTAACAACTTTACTTTTCATCAATCTTCAAGAAAGTTTCCAAGATTTAAATCCACAGCATTCATTAACACTAATGTAAGGCCAACATAAAACCAGAAAACATTTTCCAATCAAGCATCCAAATGTGGAAATAGTTTGCTATTGGATCATGTGGTTGGCTTTTGAAAAAGTATTTTAATAGTGTTTTAGATTTCGTTAACCAATGAAGTGCTCAAGATTCAGTTCAGGTTGATCATGGCTGTTACCGTTTCTGGGGATACTATTGGGCTACCCCTGTAATTGCCTTATTGACTAGTTTTTGTTTACGATACAGCCTTAGCTTTTACTTATTTTTGCATTTTATTTTTTCAAGTTTTTTATGTGTTTTGCCTCTTTATCCTCTTTATCGTGAAATCTGAATTTTTTATTTTATCGTGAAATCTGAATCTTTATCGTGAAATCTGGGGTAACTTCCTGGGCTCTAGTTTCTGAATTTCTCTTTTTTTAAGTCTTCTATTGTTTATTTGATGTAAGTTTCAAGGAACAAAGGATAAAGGAAGTACAATTGTAGCTGTGGATTATGCTCATAGAAGCTTCTTTCATTCCTGTCTTATGAGATGGCTGCTTCAGTGACTTTTGATAGGTTTTAATGTGAGTAATGATTCGAATGTCTTTAATGTTCTACTCAACTGCGTAATGAATAAAGATATTTGTTTTGCACTAATCAGTATTATGGTTAGGCTGTCAGACTAATGCATTTTATTTTATTTTTTTGTAAAGAGAATGGAAGGAAATTGAGGCATTTTCACATCTACTAACATTCTTATCCACATGTAATTGTCACATAGGATTGGGGCTTCTTCGTGCCATACTTGATTGGGAGCATTTCTTTAGTAGTTTTGGCTGTGGGAAGCATTTCACCTCAGTAAGTTGTTAGGCATTAACTACGTTATTTCCTTACTACAGGCTGTCTTGCATATGTCAACGTCTTCAAATTCAATTTTTAAAACACATTGGTTATCAATTACTACCCACGGTTATAAATTAAATCTCTAACATTTAATTTCTTTGATACAACTCCTTCATATAACATCGTCACATTTCACAATCTCCTATTTATCATTATTCACACTCATCTTAACCCAACATTTCACAAATTTAATGTTGATTGAAGTATCCTCATTTTTCCAAAATAAAACTTCAAAACTAGAATTAAATATAAAGTTGGACTTTTAGTTTTGAGGTATAAAATCACTCCCTAATTACACAATAAAATTCTTAAATCTTTACTTCATCATCTTATCACAAATTTTGTATCATCTTTCCACACCCCCCGCGGGTACCAACACAACACCACCCAACACGACTCAAACTCAACACACCCAACAAAACTCAACTCAACGCAATTCAACATGATTCAAACACAATTCATCATAGTCCAACACAATTTGGTTCAACATTATTCAACACAACTCAACATAATCAACACTATTGAACATAATTCAAGGTGAACTCTAAAACCTTTATTTCATCATTTCACCCCAAGGCTCATGTCATCCATATCATTAATAAATCATTTCCCCAATCTTCATTTCACATTATAACATAATTTACAATATCCATAACAAAGGTTCAATCGCTAATTTTTAACATAATTTTCAAACACATCCAAAATCCAATTAAACTTGTATATATACATTTCAACCTTTCAATTTCATGATTCTACTTTCAATTTGGGCAAAATCATTAATTATCATCATGAATCAACCTAGGGTTTTCAAAAAAAATCAAGACTTTCAAGAAAAATTAAAACTTCTCTCACCACTACTTTTAATTCTAATTTTTCCCTTGATTACACAACTAAGGTTCATAATCCACCATATTAACCCAACAATTGAACCCCAAACATTTCAAACCCTAAACCCCCAAATTCCATGATATAACACTATATGCTCAAAAATGGAGATTTTGTATTTATATAATCAAAATACCACAAATTTATCTATTAATGCAAGTATTGAAGAAGAAATAGGACCCCTACCTCAAGAATCAAGCAAAAAAACAAATCTTTGATGAGATTCCTTCACAAATTCGAATTCCAATCGGTAGAAAATGTTGAGCTTCAAGCCTTCTTCACTTTTTGGCAAGGGATCTTTGCTAAATCTTAGAGGAATTGAAGGTATTTCGGGTCAAAAACCTAGGGTTTTCGAACCTAGGGTGAGAGAAATGAAGAAGGAAAAGGAAAATGCAAAGAATGAGCTAAAAAATTGCATTTTAAGCTGCTGAATTCGCGCAGTCCGCTCGAGCGCCTCTTTTCCCGCTTGAGCGGACTTGCTTCCAGCGCAGATTTCAAAACTTCAAACGGTCATAACTCTCTCATCCGGACCCCGTTCCAGGTCGTTCTTATGTCCAAATTGAAGCCTCGGAAATAAGCTTTCCAATGGTTCTAGCCTCACATCCAAATTCAAAGTGTGGAAAAAGAAAATGGCAAAAGAGTGACGGCTATTAGTAGGAAAAGTTATCCGAATTAAATTCTCGGTTCACTCTTACTTTACCATCATGCTACAACTTCGATCAATATCCAAAAATAAAATAAGGAGGTTCCAAATACACTAATAAAAATGTCAAGGTCAATCTCACTTTCCACACTCAAGCGTCGCTTTCCACGCTCGAGCGCGTGGACCAACAAAGTTGTCCGCTCGAGCGACCACCCCTACACTCGAGTGGGAATTCACAACTCTCAGAATTTTGGACCGTCTAAAAAAATACTGAGAACCTCTCAAGTCCCCTCGAGCATCAACTCCCCCCGCTCGAGTGGAGGGAAAAATTTCGCATCGTTATACTACCTTAGTCGCCTGTGCTTCCACTTTGGCTGGTGTTGGAGGACTAGGGGCAGGGCTGAACCCCGCAAGCATTCTAAGCTTGGCCCTCATACTTCTCCTGAGGTGTTCTAGTCTCATCTTGAAGGTATGGCCAAGCTAAGCAATCATTTCCTCTATCTGTTCAATCGCCAAACCATGGTGTTGGCCTCCATTGGTTGTGTCCTGTGCATCTTTCCATCCTACTCTGTATTTGGCTGCCATTGATTGGCTATCTGCAATGACATCCATGTCTTTCCATAACTCAGGAAAGTCAGTAGGGACACCTATTTCCTCAGCAGCCTCTTACTTGGATCCCCAAGAAGGCCTGACGCGTCAGTAATTTTCTTGCTAGCGTCGGTAGTCTCAGATTTTTCCGTGTTCTTCTTCACCATTACTCCAAGTTAGAATGGTCCCACTGGGCGTACCAATTTATGTTGGCAAAAATTTGGTTTAGGCCCAATCGACAATAATTGATTAACAGACTTAAACAGATTTTAAATAACACAAAAAGATCAGCCTTTATGGTTGAGTCCTATGCCTTCAATAGATTAAGGACTTCCCTGGAGGTAATTAAGTAAAGAAGAAAGGGAACAGAATAGAATATGCATTAATTCGAATAAATTGTCACTTGTCACTAGTTAAACAAGAACAAAAAATTGAATAAATATAGCAATCGACAGAAAGAAGAGAAATGTGGGGTTGGAAAAGCTACTAGTTTAATCTACTCCTAAAATGGCTAATCTAGAACTACTTTTAAATAACTCTTCACTAGTGTGGTTGATGGTTGATGATTCCTTGATCCTCATTCCAGCTTCCTTTTAACCCCCTATTTTAGAAATTGTTTTTGATTTCTTTCTAGATTCTCAATTATCATTATTCATAACCTTCTCTTTTTAGTCCTGCTTTATGCTACATCAGCTATTTTAGCCATCCTTACCATGTCATTGCTATGACCCGTCGATGGAAGATTCCTGAATTTTAATCAAATTTAAAATTTATTATTATCAAATTGTATATTTAAATTTGTATATTGTGATGGTGGTGGTATTGATGGTGGTGGTGGTGGTGGTGGTGGTGGTGGCGGTAGTGGTGATAGCGATATTAGTGGTAAGAAAATGATGGTGATATTTATGGCGACCATGACAATGGTGATGAAGGTGGTGGGGGCGGCAGCGACAGTGGCAACGATGGTGGTGGTGGTGGTGGTGGCAATGGCATAGTGGTGGTAGCCATAGCAGTGGTGGTGGTAGCAATAACGATAATGGTGGTGGTGGTGGTGGCGGCAGTGGTGGTGGTAATGGTGGTTGTGAGGTTATAATAGTATTTAAAAATTCAGTCAGAATTAGGCAAAATTCATATGATTTAAAATTTTCTTAAGTTTTAACCTACATTTTAAGAGGCGTTTAAATTTTTAAGTGATATCAATTGCAATTATCAAATGGACTTAATTGATTATCAATTAATACATTCAATTTTAAGTACTGAATCAGATTTTTAAACACTAGTCATCCAAAGATAAAGAAGAGAGGCACATACCATGTGCACCATAATAATCTATTGAAAACTATTAAGTTTTCTAATGCATATATTATTAGTGAGATTAGTCAAATATGTAAACTCTTATACCGTTCCAAATTATTTAACTGACATAAAATTAAGAACCAAAAAATATATGTATTATTGTGTCGAATTTTTTTAGTTTGTCATCAATTAAAAGATTTTATCAAGTACTTTTACTTTACGAAAAAAGAAAATTAAATTTTTTGCATAAAAATTATATTCTTTTTATGTTCTTTTTGGTATTGGACAAACAATTTAGGGACAATTAAAAAAAAAAATCCCTAGATTTGAGTTTTTTAACAAAATAAACCTTAAATTTTAATTTTATCAATTTAAACCATAATATTTAATTTTACCTTAAATCTAAACCATTAACCTATTTTTCATAAATAAAACCGATGGAAAAAGAGTATTTTAATAACAAACTCAATGTAGGTATATATATAAAATGTTTAAAATATTCTTTTTCATTGAGTTTAATGATTAAAAAATATTTTTTCAACCGATTT